TTAGGTTGAGTTGGGTTTAGGATTAGGTTAGGTTTAGGTTAGGTTTAGGTTGGGTTAGCGTCTGGGTGGTTAGGTTGGGTTTGGGTTAGGTTGGCCTTAGGTTGGGTTGGCGTCTGGGTGGTTAATTTTCAGGTATTATAAAAATCGTTTATTTCAGTATTGTCAATTTGAGAATGAACTCAATCGAACAGTGATTCATTTAACATCCTCCACACCCTAACGACCTAACGACGTAGTACAGTCTTTATGCACACACACACCACACACACACACACACATGACGTTGATGGTGGTTACCGACCATTAAGACCCTCAGGGCTCTTCATGAGTCTGTCTTGCGAATTCAAGGACTTTGGGGATTGAGAAACGCTCGGGTCTGACTCGCTCTAGTGAAATAGCTCATCTGCTCTTAATTCATCTAAAATTTTGAGTCGGATATTTGACACCGTTTCATACTCAGGAACACGACAAATTGAATCAGTTTGAACTTTGTGTCGAGATAATGTGAAGTGTCTCATTAATAATTATGTCTAGTATAATAGTTATGATTCTTCGAACCTTCAACAAACTTTAGTCGACACAATTGTGATTTTTTTACAATTCTGGTACAAGATTGTAAAGTGTTCCGTCACGTGGTGTAGGTCAGGTGTTCCGTCGTGGTGTAGGTCAGGTGTTCCGTTACGTGGTGTGGGTCAGGTGTTCCGTTACGTGGTGTGGGTCAGTGTTCCGTCACGTGGTGTAGGTCAGGTGTTCCGTCACGTGGTGTTGGTCAGGTGTTCCGTTACGTGGTGTGGGTCAGGTGTTCCGTCCGTGGTGTGGGTCAGGTGTTCCGTCACGTGGTGGGTCAGGTGTTCGGTCACGTGGTGTTGGTCAGGTGTTCCGTCGTGGTGTGGGTCAGGTGTTCCATCGTGGTGTGGGTCAGGTGTTCCGTCGTGGTGTGGGTCAGTGTTCCCGTCACGTGGTGTGGGTCAGTGTTCCGGGTCGTGGTGTGGGTCAGGTGTTCCGTCGTGGTGTGGGTCAGGTGTTACGTCACGTGGTGTGGGTCAGGTGTTCCGTCAAGTGGTGTTGGTCAGGTGTTCCGTCGTGGTGGTCAGGTGTTCCGTCACGTGGTGTGGGTCAGGCGTTCTGTCACGTGGTGTGGGTCGGTGTTCCGTCTCGTGGTGTGGGTCAGGTGTTCCGTCACGTGGTGTGGGTCAGGTGTTCCGTCGTGGTGTGGGTCAGGTGTTGCGTCAAGTGGTGTAGGTCAGGTGTTCCGTCGTGGTGTGGGTCGGTGTTACGTCAAGTGGTGTTGGTCAGGTGTTCCGTCACGTGGGCTGGGTCAGGTGTTCCGCCGTGGTGTGGAGTCAGCGTTCCGTACGTGGTGTGGGTCAGGTGTTCCGTCTCATGGTCTGGGTCAGGTGTTCCGTCGTGGTGTGGGTCAGTGTTCCATCGTTGTGTGGGTCAGGTGTTCCGTTTCATGGTGTGGGTCAGGTGTTCCGTCACGTGGTGTGGGTCAGGTGTTCCGTCGTGGTGTGGGTCAGGTGTTCCGTCATGAGGTGCGGGTCAGAGTGTTCCGTCACGTGGTGTGGGTCAGGTGTTCCGTCATGGTGTGGGTCAGGTGTTCCGTCAAGTGGCTTGGGTCAGGTGTTCCGTCTCGTGGTGTGGGTCCAGGTGTTCCGTCTCGTGGTGTGGGTCAGGTGTTCCGTCGTGGTGGGTCAGGTGTTCCGTTAAGTGGTGTAGGTCAGGTGTTCCGTCACGTGGTGTGGGTCAGGTGTTCCGTCGTGGTGTGGGTCAGGTGTTCCGTCGTGGTGTGGGTCAGGTGTTCCGTCGTGGTGTGGGTCAGGTGTTGCGTCAAGTGGTGTAGGTCAGGTGTTCCGTCACGTGGTGTGGGTCAGGTGTTCCGTCAAGTGGTGTAGGTCAGTGTTCCGTCGTGGTGTAGGTCAGGTGTTCCGTCACGTGGTGTGGGTCAGGTGTTCCGTCGTGGTGTGGGTCAGGTGTTCCGTCGTGGTGTGGGTCAGGTGTTCGTCAAGTGGTGTTGGTCAGGTGTTCCGTCAAGTGGTGTTCGTCAGGTGTTCCGTCGTGGTGTTAGTCAGGTGTTCCGTCACGTGGTGTGGGTCAGGTGTTCCGTTACGTGGTGTGGGTCAGTGTTCCGTTACGTGGTGTGGGTCAAGTGTTCCGTCACGTGGTGTGGGTCAGGGTATTGTGAGTCAGGTGTTCCGTTACGTGGTGTGGGTCAGGTGTTCCGTTACGTGGTGTGGGTCAGGTGTTCCGTCACGTGGTGTGGGTCAGGTGTTCCGTCGTGGTGTGGGTCAGGTGTTCCGTCACGTGGTGTGGGTCAGGTGTTCCGTCACGTGGTGTGGGTCAGGTGTTCCGTTACGTGGTGTGGGTCAGGTGTTCCGTCACGTTGTGGGTCAGGTGTTCGTCGTGGTGTGGGTCAGGTGTTCGTCGTGGTGTGGGTCAGGTGTTCCGTCACGTGGTGTGGGTCAGCACTTAGCGTCACGTCTAAAGAAGCTTCTCCGTTAAACCTTCCCTCGGGATCTTCTCCAAGACATTGTTAAGTTTGCCTCGAACTTTGATTCCACAAAAAGTATTTTATTGTTCTCAAACTTTGCTCACAGACAATTGTGGAATTTATCTCAAACTTTACCCAAAATATTTTATTAGAAGTTGGTTCAAAATTTGAAGCGGAAAAAATTCATTTAAAACTTAAGGTGAAGAAAGGGCGACTCATTCCTTCCACACACACACACACACACACACACACACACACACACACACAACCAGTGTTAAAATCTACCGTTACATCGTACATTTTTTATCATTATACACTAAATTGTTGCCACAATATCACCATTTTTTAATAATACAATAATGTGTAAGTTTTGTTATAACGAGGTGGCGCCATCTGGTTAATGTATAAATTATTCACGAGTATTGTCAGGGAGTTGTTCATAAAGTGGAACAGAATTGAAATTGATACAGTTTATTAAGGAAGACTTTATTCATACATACTATACATACATACATACATACATACATACATACATACATACATATACATACATACATACATACATACATATATACATACATAGAATGATGAATAGCAAAGATAATTATTCATAAAGTTTAATTTTATAACAATTGAATGGTTTATTAACACGTGTACCCGGTGTAATGTTACGTGATCTGGTGTTAATAGTTTATTAACTTGGCATAAAATCATTCAACAATAAAGGTTAATATCAGTAGTTAAAGAGCCATAGTATATGATGGGTTATGGAACATTAACTATAATTTACAGCTAAAAGAGCCGTAATATAACATGGAACATTAACTATAATTTACAGCTAAAAGAGCCGTAATATAACATGGAACATTAACTATAATTTACAGCTAAAAGAGCCGTAATATAACATGGAACATTAACTATAATTATAAGTTAAAAGAGCCGTAATATAACATGGAACATTAACTATAAAACTCATCATCAAAATGTTAAAATAGTTCAGTCTTGGCCCATTGTTAAAACCCATTAAAATATAAGTTATATTTAACACAGAGCCTAACATGTTAATACTTTGTTGTGAGATAATTGAACCATTATTTTACCGTCTACACACAGGCGGGGCGTTATAGTTTATCATACACTTTGTTAACTTAATTTTAAACTTATTCGTAATGACCTGGATGGTAATTACGTCGTACTCAAAGGGCTAAGTCGTACTCAATGGGGTTAAATCGTACAGGGGGTTAAATCATAATCTAGGAGTTAAGTCGTACTCAAGGGGGTTAAATCGTACTAAAGGGGTTAAATCGTACTCAAGGGTTTAAGTCATACACAAGGGGTTAAATCGTACTCAAGGGGTTAAATCGTACTCAAGGGGATAAATTGTACTCAAGGGGTTAAATCGTACTCAAGATGTTTAAGTTATCGTACTCAAGATGTTTAAGTTATCGTACACAATATGTTTAAGTTATCGTACTCAAGATGTTTAAGTTAGCGTACTCAAGATGTTTAAGTTATCGTACTCAAGATGTTTAAGTTAAAGTACTCAAAATGTTTAAGTTATCGTACACAAGATGTTTAAGTTATCGTACTCAAGATGTTTAAGTTATCGTACTCAAGATGTTTAAGTTAAAGTACTCAAGATGTTTAAGTTATCATACTCAAGATGTTTAAGTTATTGTACTCAAGAGGTTTTAATTATCGTACTCAAGATGTTTAAGTTATCGTCCTCAAGATGCTTAAGTTATCGTACTCAAGATGTTTAAGTTATTGTGCTCAAGATGTTTAAATTATCGTACTGAAGATATTTAAGTTATCGTAATCAAGATGTTTAAGTTATCGTACTCAAGATGTTTAAGTTATCGTACACAAGGTGTTTAAGTTATCGTACTCAACATGTTTAAGTTATCGTACTCAAGATGTTTAAATGATCGTACTCAAGATGTTTAAGTTATCGTACTCAAGACGTTTAAGTTATCGTACACAATATGTTCAAGTTATCGTACTCAAGATGTTTAAGTTATCGTACTCAAGATGTTTAAGTTATCATACGCAAGATGTTTAAGTTATCATACTCAAGATGTTTAAGTTATCGTAGTCAAGAGATTTAAGTTATCGTACTCAAGAGGTTTAAGTTATCGTACTCAAGATGTTTAAGTTATCGTACTCAAGATGTTTAAGTTATCATACTCAAGATGTTTAAGTTATCGTAGTCAAGAGATTTAAGTTATCATACTCAAGATAAGTTATCGTACTCAAGATGTTTAAGTTATCGTACTCAAGATGTTTAAGTTATCATACTCAAGATGTTTAAGTTATCGTACTCAAGATGTTTAAATGATCGTACTCAAGATGTTTAAGTTATCGTACTCAAGATGTTTAAGTTATCGTACTCAAGATGTTTAAGTTATCGTAGTCAAGATGTTTAAGTTATCGTACTCAAATCACCTATAAGCGATATAAGACGCGATATATCATTTGGTGACGTCACTATATAATGATTAAACCAATTTTATGATATATTATGCCTATAGTACGAGTCCTCTTGTTTGAGTCCTCTTGTTCGAGTCCTCTTGTTCGAGTCCTCTTGTTTGAGTCCTCTTGTTCGAGTCCTCTTGTTCGAGTCCTCTTGTTCGAGTCCTCTTGCTCGAGTCCTCTTGTTTGAGTCCTCTTGTTCGAGTCCTCTTGTTCGAGTCCTCTTGTTTGAGTCCTCTTGTTCGAGTCCTCTTGTTCGAGTCCTCTTGTTCGAGTCCTCTTGTTCGAGTCCTCTTGCTCGAGTCCTCTTGTTCGAGTCCTCTTGTTCGAGTCCTCTTGCTCGAGTCCTCTTGTTCGAGTCCTCTTGTTCGAGTCCTCTTGTTCGAGTCCTCTTGTTCGAGTCCTCTTGCTCGAGTCCTCTTGTTCGAGTCCTCTTGTTCGAGTCCTCTTGTTCGAGTCCTCTTGTTCGAGTCCTCTTGTTCGAGTCCTCTTGTTCGAGTCCTCTTTGAGTCTCTTGTTTGAGTCCTCTTGTTCGAGTCCTCTTGTTTTGGAGTCCTCTTGTTTGAGTCCTTTTTGAGTCCTCTTGTTTGAGTCCTTTTGTTCGAGTCCTCTTGTTTGAGTCCTCTTGTTCGAGTCCTCTTGTTCGAGTCCTCTTGTTCGAGTCCTCTTGTTCGAGTCCTCTTGTTTGAGTCCTTTTGTTCGAGTCCTCTTGTTCGAGTCCTCTTGTTTGAGTCCTCTTGTTTGAGTCCTCTTGTTCGAGTCCTCTTGTTTTGAGTCCTCTTGTTCGGAGTCCTCTTGCTCCGGAGTCCTCTTGATTTCGGAGTCCTCTTGTTTGAGTCCTCTTGTTCCGAGTCCTCTTGTTCGAGTCCTCTCGTGTTTGGAGTCCTCTTGTTTGAGTCCTCTTGTTCAGGAATCCTCTTATTTCCAGAGTCCTCTTGTTCGGAATCCTCTTGTTCCGAGTCCTTTTGTTTCCGGAGTCCTCTTGTTCAGAGTCCTCTTGTTCGGAATCCTCTTGTTTGGAGTCCTCTTGTTTTAGATCCTCTTGTTCGATTCCTCTTGTTCGGAGTCCTCTTGTTCGAGTCCTCTTGTTCCGGAGTCCTCTTGTTTGAGTCCTCTTGTTTGGAGTCCTCTTGTTTCAGGTCCTCTGGTTCGGAATCCTCTTGTTCGGAGTCCTCTTGTTCGGAGTCTCTTGTTTCAGAGTCCTCTTGTTCGAGTCCTCTTGTTCGAGTCCTCTTGTTCGAGTCCTCTTGTTTGAGTCCTCTTGTTCGAGTCCTCTTGTTCGAGTCCTCTTGTTTGAGTCCTCTTGTTCGAGTCCTCTTGTTCGAGTCCTCTTGTTCGAGTCCTCTTGTTCGAGTCCTCTTGCTCGAGTCCTCTTGTTCGAGTCCTCTTGTTCGAGTCCTCTTGCTCGAGTCCTCTTGTTCGAGTCCTCTTGTTCGAGTCCTCTTGTTCGAGTCCTCTTGTTCGAGTCCTCTTGCTCGAGTCCTCTTGTTCGAGTCCTCTTGTTCGAGTCCTCTTGTTCGAGTCTCTTGTTCCGGGTCCTCTTGTTTCAGTCCCTCTTGTTCGATCCTCTTGTTCGGAATCTCTTGTTCGGAGTCCTCTTGCTCTGAGTCCTTGTTCAGGAATCCTCTTGTTCGAGGAATCCTTTGTTTCAGTCCTCTTGTTTGAGTCCTCTTGTTCGGAGTCCTCTTGTTCGAGGTCCTCTTGTTCAGATCCTCTTGTTCGGAGTCCTCTTGTTCAGTCCTCTTGTTCAGGTCCTCTTGTTTCGAGTCCTCTTGTTCGGGTCCCTTGTTCGAATCTCTTGTTCGGGTCCTCTTGTTCGAGTCCTCTTGTTTGAGTCCTCTTGTTTCGAGCCCTCTTGCTCCGAGTCCTCTTGATTCGGAGTCCTCTTGTTCGAGGTCCTCTTGTTCTAGTCCTCTTGTTCGAGTCCTCTTCTTGAGTCCTCTTGTTTCGAGTCTCCTCTTGTTCGTCTCTTGTTCAGAGTCTTGTTCCGTCTCTTGTTCGAAGTCTCTTTGTTCTAGGTCCTCTTTGTCTCTTGTTCTGAGTCCTCCTTTCTGTTCTATGTCCTCTTGTTCGAATCCTCTTGCTCGGTCCTCTTGTTTCCTCTTGTTCAGTCCTCTTGTTCGTCCTCTTGTTTGAGTCCTCTTTTTCGGGTCTCTTTTCCGAGTCCTCTTGCCGTCTCTTGTTCGGAGTCCTCTTGTTCGAGTCCTCTTGTTTGATTCCTCTGTTTCGAGTCCTCCTCGGGTCCTCTTGTTCAGTCCTCTTGTTCGAGTCCTCTTGTTCAGTCCTCTGTTCAGGTCCTCTTGTTTCGGTCTCTTGTTCGAGTTCTCTTGTTCCGGAGTCCCTCTTGGGTCTATTTTCGGAGTCCTCTTGTTAAGTCCCTCTTCTTTCGAGTCCTCTTGCTCAGGTCCTCTTGTTTGAGTCCTCTTGTTCGAGTCCCTGTTGAGTCCTCTTGCTCAAGTCCTCTTTCGGTCCTCTTGTTTGGAGTCCTCTTGTCAAGTCCTCTTGTTCAATCCTCTTGTTCGGTCCTCTTGTTCGAG